CCAGAACCCAACAGATACAATGACAGAGTTCTTGGTAAGTCCAGAAGAACAGTTCCTTTGGAACTGAGGACTATTCCAAAGAGACAGCACCCTCTGGGCGTCATAGTTTGGGCAGGTGTGTGCTCTGATGGGTCAAAAACTCCCCTTGTTTTTGTTCCTGAAGGTGTAAAAGTCAACCAGGTGATCTATGTCGACTTCATCAAAGCTAACCTCATTCCTTGGGCCAAAAAGAAGTTTGGGGACGATCCATGGGCCTTTATGCAGGATAGTGCACCAGCACACAGTGCAAAGAAAACTGTCAGCTTCTTGAAAGAAAATGTTCCTCACCTTTGGACCCCAGATATGTGGGCCCTTCAAGCCCAGACATTAATCCTATGGATTTTGCTATATAGAGTGTCATGGAGACCAAGAAGGCAGCCAAAACATATCCAAATTTGGCAGCCCTCCGAAACAAATTGAAGAAGATTTGGAAGAATCTTAGTCCGGATATGGTGCGACGATGCTGTGAGTCAGTTCCAGAGTGTTTGAAGAGTGTCATTGATGCCAAAAGAGGCTACTTTGAAATTCATTAGTGTTTTTGAGTAAAAGTATATGTGATTTGGTATTGTGAAAAGTTTTACTTTGAAAATAAAAGCCATTTTTGAGATATAAATATTTTTATTTTTCTGCGATAACCTGCGCACCCCTGTACATGTATTTCATTATTCTACTTTATCGTGTTTAGTATATTTAAGCACACTAAATATTACTTTTCATTTTATGAGATAAGCAGGTTTTTTAGGAAGAAAAAAAAAAGAAAATTTTTGAAGTTCGAAGTTAATAATTTTTCATACATATGTTGGTCTATATCTTAAAAAACTGTGTTTCTCTAATTTATATTTAAAACATCTATTTATATTTTTCATGTTCAAAAACAAAAGCATTTTGTAGTTTGTTTTTCAAAGATGATAAACAGCTGATACAAGGTATAAGATATATCTTGTATCAGGTTATAATAATCTGATAAAAGGTACTAGATTATTATAAACCTTGATGGTTAAGATTATCTTAGTAAAGCCATGATCCAAGTAAGTATTGTAAATTTCACAATAGGTATCACAGATGTAATGACTTGCTAAACTGCTCAGTTTTATGACTTTTTATTAAAAAATTTGTGCTGGCAATTGCCAGCATATTGTCAAATATTTGCACAAACATCAAAAAGAATGTACAAGCTACAAATATTTTCATTTCATTTCTGAAAATCCTTTAACATTTCGATTATATCTCGATTTCAGAAATTATATTTATATAAATTTATTAATATATTTTTTTAGACTTGGATTTTACTTATATCATTTCAAGATATTTTCATATAACTTTCATAAAAAATAGTTTTGATAAATGTTACCTGTTATAAAAATATCAATAAGATAACACCTTTCCTAATGCTACGCATTTTGTATATAGTAGTTCTATTGGTTTAAGGTTAAGTTATTGAATTGGTTCAAGATTAAATTATTCTATTGGGTTAAGATTAGGTTAAGGTTAGCTATTTAATCCACAACATATCAAAAGCTAGGCTGTTCAACAAGCTATGCAAACCACAGTATGTGTAGATTAAAATAGAGATAAAATAGAATTTACAAACTGAATGAAAATAGAACATGTATGATAAATTAATAGGACAGCAGTAAATTTTTATTTTTTAGACATTGGCAGGCTGTATAAGCCGTCAAGACTTATCTTCCTGCAACGAAATTAAAAGAACTTTTAACTACAAGCCTATTTAAAATAATTTTTATTGCAGTATTTTCTAAAGCAAATTTTCCTTTTATTTTATTTACTAATTAGATTACTTATATTTCATAATTTCTTTAAATTATTTTTGGTTTAATATTGGTGTTTTACAAAACTTTGGGTTTAAAAAATTATCTAACATATTTTAGATTTTTACTTTTAATTTTTATTCAAATATAATTAGTGTCCAATTTTTGTAATATTTTTTTTGCAAATATCAATTTGATATTATGTTATCAATATGTGAGTATAATTTCAAGATATAATTAAAAAATGGTAGGATGAGGTACATAGACCAATGATCCATACGCTTTGTTTTCTTATAAGTTTAGCGCAAAATGTCTGTACCGATAGAACTCATTCGCAAAAACTTTTGATAATGATTGGTTTATTAAAATTTTATTGTTATTTTTACATGGTTTCCACTTATTATGACAGTAAGTCCAGTATTGCCAGTTTGCGTGTAAAAACACGCGCAAACTGGCAATCGGGAGATTTTTGAACAAAAATTAATGCCGTGTTTAGTGGCGTTTGTCAAAACTTTCTTTTTAGCTTTATAAATGATAAATTAAAAAAAAACATTCTTTACTTAATTTTTTAAATATTTCTTCATGGAATAAAACTTTGAATGCTCCATTAAGGTCAACAGTGAGGTATGAATACAGGGGCATATATAGCGTATTTTCGTGTTTGAGATAACTTCGAGACATGGAGCAAACTCCAAACATATAAGAAACTACTAAACATATAAATGTTAGATATACATGCTTTGCAAAAAAATCCTTTGATTGGAGCTTAAGAACAAAAAAACTTAAAATTTTTGCATATTGTTGCAACCCATATTGTTGTTGCACCTATATTGTTGACCATATAAAACTTGAAAAATTTATCGATGAATATTAAATTAGTTGAGCGACGTAGAATAAAAACTTATGACTTTTTTTTCCAAAGCACAAGGATATTAGGTGGTTATAAGCTAACTTTCTTTAAAGTATCTTGAAAATAAAAACAATACAAAAAATTGTTTCGCAAATTTTTAATAAAATTAAAATATATTACAATGTCATCTTAGTTTTGTACTAACCTTCTGGAAATTTGTATGCGTTCATTTATATATATATATATATATATATATATATATATATATATATATATATATATATATATATATATATATATATATATATATATATATATATTGTTGCAAGTATTTTTGTACCAAATAGAGATACAAAGCCTCTTGTACGTTTTTTTAGAGTGACCAATATAATGTAAACTAATTATTTACAAAATAGATCATCAATTATATGAGTGAAATAATATCTAAGTACAGGCATAGAAGCTTTTTCAGGTATATAGTGGGCATATCAAACATTTCAGTCGACGGATTTTTAGTTTTGAGAACTTTTTTTTGTTTTTTTCCTTTTATTAGAAAACCATTTTTAAGGATTCGCCCTCATTCTCTAATTTTATTCCAAAAATTGCCCCCATAAACCTGAGCACTCTCTATTACAACCGCCTAAAATTATAAAACCCATTTTAATTTTTTAGACAAAAATTTTTTTTCCACTTATACATACATACATATATATATATATATATATATATATATATATATATATATATATATATATATATATATATATATATATATATATACATATATATATATATATATATATATATATATATATATATATATATATATATATATATATATACATATATATATATATATATATATATATATATATATATATATATATATATATATATATATATATATATATATATATATATATATATATATATATATATATATATAGATACATATATATATGTATATATATATATATATATATATATATACATATATATATATATATATATATATATATATATATATATATATATATATATATATATATGTATATATGTATGTATGTATGTATGTATATATATATATATATATATATATATATATATATATATATATATATATATATATATATATATATATGTATGTATGTATGTATGTATGTATGTATGTATGTATGTATGTATGTATGTATGTATGTATGTATGTATGTATGTATGTATGTATGTATGTATGTATGTATGTATGTATGTATGTATGTATGTATGTATGTATGTATGTATGTATGTATGTATGTATGTATGTATGTATGTATGTATGTATATATATATATATATATATATATATATATATATATATATATATATATATATATATATATATATATATGACAATTAAAACAAGGGTGACAATTAAAACAATCTTTTTTAAAAATGTCTGGTCTCACTGTCTACTTATGTTCTATTTGATAAAATAATACTGGAAAAAAAAAATTTTTAAAAAAGGTAATTTTTATTGTCATCCTAATATATATATATATATATATATATATATATATATATATATATATATATATATATATATATATATATATATATATATATATATATATATATATATATATATATATATATATATATATATATATATATATATATATATATATATATATATATATATATATATATATATATATATAAGACCCTTAAATATCAAACGAATATTAAAGCTCAAGACCCTTAAATATCAAACGGGTTCCTAGTATTTTGAAAAACAAGTTTTTCAAAAGTATATTATATTGGGTCTCAAAAGAAGTGAAATTTTATAAAAATTTCAAAATAATAATCATTTTATAAAAAGATTAGTTTAAATTTTATGGCTTACTTCTTATTTTAACAAAAAATAAAAAGTACATATTTTCAAATTTTTTTTTAAACAAACTTTTTAAATTTGTGTTTCCATAAAACTTTTTTTTCAAAATATTAGGGACCTGTTATATGTTTAAGGGTCTTGAGCGACTCCTAAAATTTTTTAAATCTAGTGTTAATTTATTACATAGAACACATTTAGAGGGTGGCAGCAAAAAAGTTGTTTTAGAGGAATTCTAATGTGTGTGTATGTGTGTATATATATATATATATATATATATATATATATATATATATATATATATATATATATATATATATATATATATATATATATATATATATATATATATATATATTTATCTATGTGTGTGTATATATATATTTGGAAAAACAATCCATATTTGATATAGTCACTTTTACAGATAACAAGGTTTTTAAACAACCTTTTGTTTGTGATAGTTTTAAAAACACCATTTAGAGTGTACACATTGTCTATTTAATTTCTGTTAGTTGCTGTTGTTAGCCATGAAAAATTACATAAAATTAAAAAAGTTAAATTTCAAGTTTATATAATATGTAAAACACCTAGTTAATCCAAGCGTATGATATAAAGTCATTTTTTGGATCATTCCAAAAACTGCATATCATACTATGATAATCAGATTCAAGAGTTTCAAGAAGTCCTTGTGTATTAAAAACACCTGTCTTACCTTCACTCCAGTCAGACCGAAGCATATGTCCATATATCATAAAATGTTTAATATTTTCTTGAAGAGTTTTTGCAAATAGTTTATCAGTCTCACTTAATGAATAATTATTTACTGCTTTGAAATTGAATAAAGCAGTTGAATCCCAGAAATGAACAGCATACTTTGAGGGAGGAAAACCATTCAATGAAACAGGCTTATTTGGATAGTTAGTTACTATATACCTAAAAACATCATATTTGTTGCTTAACAAAATATCTTTAGCAAGTTTGTTACTTGGGCAGTTAATACGAACATCACTTGAGATTGTTTCATATGCATATTGTGCACTATCATTAATATTATTAATATTTTTGTAAAGATCAAATATCTTTGAATATGATAAAGAAAAATTAAGAAGTCTTTTATCTAAATATTCTTTTAAACTTATCCATTGGTACACACCAGTAAAAATAGCGCCTGGAAGTATACCTATTTCTTGTGCAGTTGAACCAATTAAAACAGAAACCTTATCTGAGGTTGTAAAATTTATATTTTTAATGTTTTGAGGATATTCAGATACTGACATAGGCTCCATCACTATTAAAGCGCCATCAAAAAGGTCTTTTTTTGGAAAATCTAATAAATCCTCCATTAACCAATATGGGTAAACATCATTTGGAATAGCTCTTATAACTTCCTCTGATGTTAAATTGTACAAACATTCTTTTAGTTTTACAGAAATATCTTTACACTTACTTTTTTTAATAAATACTTGATTTTCATTAGCTGCACTAATATAAGACTTTTCAAATTTAGGTGATGCACTCATTGTTATGGCTCTTTGAAAAAGCCCTTCAGCAGGCAGTGAAGCAAGAAGACCAAATATTGAAGTTCCACCTGAACTCTGACCAACAATTGTCACAGAATTCGGATCACCTCCAAAGTTTTGAATATTCTTTTTTACCCACTTTAATACAAGAATTTGATCCAGAAGGCCAAAATTACCATAAGACTCATTTTCAACCCAAAGTTCCTTAAGAGTAAGAAACCCAAATGCATTTAGCCTATAATTCATGCTTACAGCAACAACATTCATTGAGGTTACAAACTCGCTGTCAGGACTATAACCAGACTGATGTCCAAAACCGTTCATTAAGTAGCCTCCATGTATCCAAACAAAAACTGGCAATAATGCATCAGTTTCTAATCGTGGAGACCAGACATTAAGATACAAACAGTTTTCAGATCCCTCGATTACACCTGAAGTATTTTGAACACATATATTTCCAAACTTTGTTGCCTCAAAAGTACCTTTCCAACAATTGGAACTTAATGCAACTGGAGCTTTCCAACGCAAGTTTTTAACAGGAGGTAAAGCATACGGAATTCCTTTAAAAACAAAGCTGTCAAACATTTTGTTATTCACTTTAACTGATTCTATTGTGCCAGTAACAGGACCACAATCAATTAAAACAACTGGACTAGACCTAAAAGATTGATTTTGTTTTGAATAATACAAATATATTAGACCACCCATTATGGCCAAAAAAATCAAAACAACAACTACAAGAGCTGTGATTTTTCTGTTTCTTCGTATGCAAAAGTGTGCGAGCTTTGCAATAACTGGACTACGTTCTTTTTTAGCCTGTTCATCAGCACTTGATGCTGTCTCGAAATCGGTATCTGCTGATCTCCAAGAAACTTGATCATATCGTTTTGAGTATTTAGTAATATGTTCTTTAATAATGGACTGCTTTTCATCAGACATTTTTTTTATTTCATTAATACCAAGTATGCGCCTAAATGGAACGCTAAATGTTTACGGGAACTTCAAAAAATCACAAAAATAACAAATTTAAAAAAAGGGAAAAAATTAACAAAAAAAGTTGAGTGTTTTAACAATATTTTAATCAAGCTTAAAAGTAGACCCCTTCCCTTTTGACAACTACTCGTCAAGTTTCCAAAGACCCCCTGTAAAATTACGTCAACATTTGATTACCACCTCCTCCCTCTCAAATAAAATTAAAATGATAAAAACAACCTTTTTGCCCCTTTTTTTTTAAGTAACTAAATTTATTTTAAAAGAAACCCTTGCCCAAATTATGCCTAAACGCAACAAAGGACAACGGTGATAAAATTGCGTCAAATAGCTGGAGACCTTTTTTCGAAATAAGTTTTATTATATTTTACTTTATGTCTGACGACGGTCTGAGCTAATCAGACTGAAATATTTGATAAATAAATTAAAAATTAGTATTAAGCGGTATTTTATGTTTGTATATATATTGAACTAAAAAAGTAACATTTTATATATATATAATATATATATATATATATATATATATATATATATATATATATATATATATATATATATATATATATATATACGTATATATATATATATATATATGTATATATATATATATATATATATATATACGTATATATATATATATATATATATATATATATATATATATATATATATATATACATATATATATATATACATATATATATATATATATACATATATATATATATATATATATATATATATATATATATATATATATATATTATATATATCCATATATATATATATACGTATATATATATATATATGTATATATATATATATATATATATATATATATATATATATATATATATATATATATATATATATATATATATATATATATATATATATATGAATTCGATAAAAAATAAATATTTGTTATTATTATTATTATAATTTTTTTTTTTTTTTGTTTTTATTTAATTACAGTTTACGTTTATGACAAATGTACCTAAAAAGTCAATATTTGTAGCTGCTAAAGCACAAATTAATTAAATTAAACGTGCAGCTCATCTTCAGTAAAAAATGCACTGTTTGCAGCTGTAGGAAAAAAATACTTGTCAATTCTACTTTTGAATGCGTTAATTGACGGAGCCTTTTTGCATGACAACAGTAAATAATTCCAATCATTAACAATACGATTTGTGAAGAAATTATGTCGAGCATTATTGAAAGTGAAATCACGCGTTAGTACGTTGGATGGTAATCTGCGAAGAGGTGGATTATGCCAATTAATAATTTCAAAACCGTTTTCAAGTTTAAACTGTTGGATCAAGTCGCCGCGTCGCCTGCGAGTTTCCAAAGAAGTAAATTTGAGACGCTAACACCTTTCAGCATAAGGTAAACTTGTTATATCATGAGGAATTTTTTTGCTTTGTGCTGAATTTTTTCAATTTCTTTGATGTTGCCCTTTAAGTAAGGACACCATACCGGAACAGCAAATTCCATTATGTGTTGATTCCATTTTAGATCGTTAGATAAAAAGATACCCAGGTCTCTTCCAATATCCGTTGCCGCTATAATAAGAGATGTATTACCATCATTCATTACATATTCATGATTTATATTTCCATGACCAAGGTGCATAACTTTACACTTTGCAGCATTTAATTCCATAAGCCATTCTTTTGACCACTCTGAGATAATATTTAAATCATTTTGAAGAATCAGACAATCAGCATCGTGAAACTCAGGTCTTATTTCTTGCAACAGTTTAGTGTCATCAGCATAGAGTTTATGAACTGATTTTAAATTATCCGTTAAGTCATTTATGTAGATGATGAATAATGTTGGACCAAGTACAGACCCTTGTGGAACTCCGCTTAAAACATCGGTCCAGTCGCCAGAGTGATTACGTAAAACTGTTCGTTATTTTCTGCTAGTTAAAAATGACTCAATCCATTTGCCAACATTACCATTGATCCCATATGCTTTCAATTTATGTATTAGTCTACGATGAGAAACTTTATCAAACGCTTTTGCAAAGTCCAAAAATGCAATATCGACAAAATTTCTATTGCTTAACGCTTTTGTAATGTAGTCAATACTTTTCAATAAGTTAGACGTGCATCCCTTTTTGGACATAAATCCATGTTGATTATTTGAGATGCAGCTCGTTTGAGCCTTCAGACAGTGCTTTATTGTAAATTAATGTTAGAGGGTAAGTCATTTGACCTGCACATTCTTTAAGTGCCTTTGGACTAATGTTAACAACACCAATAGATTTGTTCGGGTTCAAACCATTCAAATAGGCTAGCGTTGCTTCAAAACATATTATTACATCGCCTAAGTCTTCTTGATTATGTCTTCTCTTAAAAACCGGCAACTGATCATTTATGCTATCATCAACAAAAACTGATTTAAAGTGTTCGTTAAGTCTTTTTGCGATATGTATTGCCTCTGTTAACGTTTCACCTTTTGCATCTGATATAGCGCCAATAGATACATGTACGTTCTGTTGCGCTTTAGCATAAGCATACATTCTTTTTGGATTATTTTTATCTGATGCCAGTTGGGCTTCAAATACTCGAACACGATGTGTACATGCTTTCTGAACTTGGCTTCTTAGTTTCTTATATTCACAAATGAGGGTCGTTGATTGCCAGTTTGTCATAGATAAGTAATTGCCCAGTTGTTGTTTTTTCTTTATCATAGCTAATACTTCCTTATTCATCCACGGTGCATTACGAGTAGAATGGACTTTTTTTAACGGGATGAATTGCTTGCTGAGTTTATCATATTTATTGCAGAAAAGTTCATAGCATTCGTTTGTGTTTTTATTTTCAAATAATTGCTGCTAGTTAGTTTCCATAATCTTTTTACCGAAGTTTTTATAGTCACCTTTATTAAAATCATATTTTTTGTTTGAGAAAGTTGTCCTATTTTTAGAAAGGACAACATAATCCCAACTCAATATGCGATGACCTTGTGACAAATCATCTAACGGAATAGAGCTAGATAAATTGATTACTTCAGTTGAAGAGTCTGTAATAATTAAATCCAAAATATTTTTTGCATTTCTATTCGATGCTTCGAAGGTTGAGAAATCAACTAATTGTTTTAGATTATGATTAGCCAAGAAATCAACTAATTGTTCTAGATTTTGACCGCTTAGTAATTCGATTCTTTCGTCATTATGCCATTTAATATCCGGAAAGTTGAAATCACCTGCTAATAACATACAACTATACGCTTTTCTATCAACAGCTTGCTTAGCTGAAATAATTGTTTTATTTATATCATCTATATGGGATAAAGGTGATTTATAGACACAGCCAATAAGAATCATTTTGTTAACGATTTTAATTTCGCACCATATTTGCTTGGAGTTGCTGTTGTTTAAAGTCTCTCTTAGATGACAATCAGATACCTCATGCGCGACTAGATCACGCTTAATGTAGATAGCAACACCTCCACCGTGACCTATTCTATTTTTTTTTCACTAGTGAATAGTTATTTAATTGAGTGGCAGATGTTTCAGTAAACCATGTCTTAGAAATAAAGATTAAATCAGGCATGTTTATTTCACAGAGTGCAGATAACTCGTTCATTTTAGTCGAATTAAGAGAAGTTGCGTTAGTATAAAAACATTTTAAAAGTTTATTTTTAGGGTTAGATTTAGCAGATTTTATTTTTGTATTTAATGCATTTAAATAAGTATTCGCAGTTAAACGATTTGATTCATTATGTTTTAGCAATTCTGGCTGCTTGTGCATCTTTCCATTTAATGAAAGGATGCTTTTTACGTCCATTGATATCAACTTCCTGCGAGACATCAATGCATCGCAATTTATCGCTGCGGATGACAAATCTAAAGGGTTTGTCAAGTTTTCCAAGCTTTTCAAGGTCAGAATTAGATGCTTTTATTTCTAAGTTTAATTTAATAAATTCGCTTTGCTCTGCTGCTGAGCGGTCGGGGCGTATAAATATATCTTTAAAAGTACCCGATGCCAGTTGTTTAGCTGACGCTAGAACGTCATTTCTTATAAATATTGAATCAACTTCAATCATAAGAGGAGCGGGTTTACTAGAATCAAAGTTCTTTTTTTTTTGAAACGTTCAATTCCAACTACATTGACTGATTTACTTAAATATGCCATAACCTTCTTGAATTCCGTGGTATCATGTTTGGTTATCTCGCTTGGTTGAGTTTTAACAGATTCTGGTAGACCAAACACTACAATTCTCTTTTATCTGTTAGTCTCGTCCTTGTTATGCTTATTGATGGCGCTCACTACAGCTACGTTTGCTAATGTACCGGGTTTGCCGACTTGTTCAACTAATTTAGATAACAAAGATTTTTCACTACTTTTCCTATCTTTTAAAGACTTTATTTCAATATCCTGCAAAATAATTCTATTAGTAAGTTCGTCAATTCTGGCGGTAAGTGTTTTAATTACATAAAGAGCTTGTTTCAGCTCTTCTTTGGCAATTTTATTAGCGTTTTCAAGAGCATCATTAAGTTGTTTTTGCGTTACCATCATTAGAAATTAACAGTGGAAGCGATTTTAAGGTTTATAGATTATAAACAAATTTAAATTTATAAATGAATTGCTTTTAACTCGATATATCCTCAGAAATAATTTATATCCGTGAAGTTTATATATTAGTAAAAAAAAAATGTAAATATCTTATTACACAGGGAATAAAATTTTGTAATACGTGTTTATGTGTTTATATATAACAATAGTTTTTCCGTATATAATTATATATATATATATATATAATATATATATATATATATATATATGTATATATATATATATATATATATATATATATATATATATATATATATATATTTTATATATATATATATATATATTATATATATATATATATATATATATATATATTATTTTTCCGTAAGAACACACAAAGGTAGTTATGTGTTAAAAAATTTATCCGAAAACAAACAACAGATTAAGAATCAGGTGCAAACGCGATTTTATAACAACTAGAAAGCTACAAAAGAAAGCTATATATATATATATATAAATATATATATATATATATATATATATATATATATATATATATATATATATATATATATATACATATATATATATATACATATATATATATATATATATATATATATATATATATATATATATATATATATATATATATATATATATCATATATATATATATATATATATATATAGAGTTAGAACTCGTTAAAAACCTTTTAAATATAATATAATATAAGCGTAAATAGGATCTTCGATGAGATAATGATAGTTTAAAATATTTATTTATATAAATATATAAATATAAATAATAAAAAGCAGCTATATATTATATTCAGTTACTAAGTCGTTAATTCGGAGCGATTGACTTCGAACCGATAATATATTTTAATATAGTAGAATAATAGATAATGAATATTAATATGAAAGTATATAAGATATATGATAGAAGAAGAAAAAAAGAAAAGAAAATAAATAAAAAATGAAAAAAAAAAAGAGAACAATTGAAAGAAAATAAAAAAAAAAGAACTCGAAAGTTACGATCAAATAAAACGCGTCCTGTTATCTCCTAATTAAAAAAAATCAAAATCTCCTAATTAAAAAAAATCAAAAGATAAACATCCGTAAATTTTTTTAAACTTTGATGAAAATTAATCATAAAAACTCTATGAAACTGTATATAAAAAAAAATCTTTTTATCTATTAAATAAATCTATTTTCTTTCCTTTTTTTCCCCGTGACTTTGGGAAGTCACTTTGACTTCTAGTTTCTATTATATAGGTCTAATTTTTATATAGTTGTTTAACTTGTGGCAATGTAGTGTGACGAGTATTAATCATACTAAGTTAAAAAAAATTTATAGCAAACAAAAACTGTATTCGGAGGAGGTAAAGCTGTTCCTTGTGAATCTTTTATATATATACTTGCTGCTTTAAATACTTTTAACTTTTTTACTTTAAACAAAACATGGAGTATCTCGCGAAATCTTTGAAATTTATTTTAAAGAAATAAACCATAAGTATCCTACAAGTTTTATAGAAAGCTACTTTGTTTTACCAAAATCACATTAAAAACTGAGTTCATATTCAATTCAGAATAGGAAATCATTTTTGACGAAAAAAAATTATCTTAAACAGTTTAAAACTGAAATAAAACGCTATTCATATATGGACTTTTTACTAACCGACTAAAAATCGATTCGGTCGAATGAAAGTCTCAAAATCCTTTTATCTCGCCTTTCGATTTAACTTTCCAATTTTTTATTTTTTTTTGTTCGTTTAAAAACAAAAGCAAGCACTATTGTAATTAGAGATGTCAGAGATAGTGGTTTTGCCCAATACCGAATATTCGGCTGCCGAATATTCGATGACACTTTCCTTTTTTGAGGGTTCCGACTTGGTTCATTGAAGTGGATATCGTGGGTATACTGGCAAAAGACGTTTTATAAAAAATTGACAATTTTGACTTAATGATGCAGTATTGTAAAGTTTACAACACTCTACAAACTGGCAAAATTTAAGAAACATCTTTAAAGATGTTTAAAGTAGAATTTAGGCAGGTAGTATCTTAGCTTGAATATTTTTTTTGAAATGTTTGTATAATTTCTTTTAGTTTCTACATTTTATTTTTGTGTACAAAAATCTTTTTTTGCGGATTTTAAAATAGTGATTACGTATTTATAATCAATTAAATATTTAATACTCTCTTCGTATTTTAAATGATTTAGACCTGCAACTCTTTCAAATATTTCTGCAATTAAAGAAAGAGCTTTGTTCGCTGATTACATTAATTATATTGAAATTAGTAATGGCTTCTATACACCATCAGCTGAAGATGTTATTCCAATTATTTCTGAGATTGGTTCAGATTATTTCCTTTAAGTTATATTGTAAAAGTATATTGAATATAAAGAATTAGCTAAATTATATAAAATATAACAATCATTCACAGATTTTGATTAACTTTGTTTAAATGTTTTTTATTTTTTTTTAATAGATAAAATTAAAAAAAAAACACACTAAAAACAATGCAATTATTTTAGTTTACTGTGTAGCTATTTCAAAATAAAATATTTAACAAACGGCGAAATACAATATTGATCGCCAGTAAAAATTTATATTTATGTTGATTGCCGACAGAATCAATCATGGATGGTAGATACACATTATTGTTCAGGGGCGGAACTAGGGGGTATCCTGTGTTGCCCAGGATTCACCCATAATATTCTAAGAAGTTATAAAAAAATCCGTTTCATTATCTAAAAAATGCTAAAATTAAATTTATAGTATACTTACATGAATATATAAGTTCTTTTAAAAAAAAAAAGCATCGCCTTTATAGAAAAACATGCAATGTTTCAGACTTAGCTCTCCTCCGTCATGTTTCAAAACGCCGTTATTAAATTAGGATTCTTTTTTTAAAGTAAACGGTACCGAAAGAACCCTTTTAATCAATCGTTATAGCACTATTTCAGGATTCATTTGACCCGAATTTCCGGTAGACAACAAAAAAAAGTTTGATCAAAAGGGTTCTCTCGCTTCCGTTCATATATAAAAATGAATTCTTAATTATTCTAATAACGCCTTAATTATTCGCATAAAGCCTTAAGTATTTGAATAAATTAAAGTTTATCAAAAATTAGGTAATAAGTGGTTTTTATTACAAATTTTATTTTTGTTTGCAATTATGGATTTGTTGCTATCCAATGCCATTAAAGCCAAGCATTTTCCTAATATTACGACTTACAAAGCAAAGCTTCGTAATAATCTCAAAGAATTAAATTCAAATTTTCCTGTTGTAAACAAAGATCTTCTTTCTTTAAGAAACTCTGAAATGGAAGCTTTTGTTCCCATGCAAAAAGAAAATGAAGACTATATTGTTTTAAAGTATATGAATTTAAACACGTTTTTTTTTATGTTTTATTTTGTTTATAAAAAATAATTCTTGACAAATAATGTTTAGTTAAATATGTTTGTTTTAGTTATATTTAGTATATATATATATATATATATATATATATATATATATATATATATATATATATATATATATATATATATATATATATATATATATATATATATATATATATATATATATATATATATATATATATATATATATATATATATATATATATATATATATATATATATATATATATATATATATATATATATATATATATATATATATATATATATATATATATATATATATATATATATATATATATATATATATATATATATATATATATATATATATATATATATATATATATATATATATATATATATATATATATATATATATATATATATATATATATATATATATATATATATATATATATATATATATATATATATATATATATATATATATATATATATATATATATATATATATATATATATATATATATATATATATATATATATATATATATATATATATATATATATATATATATATATATATATATATATATATATATATATATATATATATATATATATATATATATATATATATATATATATATATATATATATATATATATATATATATATATATATATATATATATATATATATATATATATATATATATATATATATATATATATATATATATATATATATATATATATATATATATATATATATATATATATATATATATATATATATATATATATATATATATATATATATATATATATATATATATATATATATATATGTATATATATATATATATATATATATATATATATATATATTAAATATAACTAAAACAAACATATTTAACTAAACATTATTTGTCAAGAATTATTAAAAAAGTTTATTAAAAAAGCAGCAGAGTTGTAAAGACAGTTACTATTTTCAATTGACCTGTAAAGTCATAACATATACTATATATGTTATGACTTTACAAGTCGATGGAAAATGGTAACTGTCTTTACAACTCTGCTGCTTTATTAATAAATTCATCAGATAAAACACATAAAATTCTTTGACTATTAACTTCTGTTGAGTTGTTTGAGAAAGCAAACTTCTATTCGACATACCCAATTGGGTATGTCGAATAGAAGTTTGCTTTCTCAAACAACTATTGGCCAAACAACTCAACTCAAACAACTATTCAACAAAACAACTCAAACAACTATTGGCCAATAATCTTAAACCAAGTGGAATTTAAAGATTTTTCTTCACTCTCTAGTGTTTTCATGACATGTGTTTCATTTGAATTATTTATAACTAAACATATACAAAATTAAATGATATAAATATTGCTGAACTTATAAAAAAAGAAGCCTATAACAATTGCAGAAACAGTAAATTTGCTTTTTTTCTTTGTTTAATTGCATTATCTACAGTGTTAAATAAACAAATTGAGTCTATTTATCCTGAATTTGGACTTAAAAAATATAAAAAGTTATTTAATGTATCTATATACCCACGTGGTGATCATTAAACAAATAAAGAAATTCTGAGTATTTTATGGTGTAACACTGATTGTCGCTCTATTTCCAAGGATAAAGGTATGTGGTCACCAAATCATTTTGTCTCTTATGTGAAAAGTGAAGTTTTATGCTCAAAGAAATTTGTCAAAGATGATTTAAAAAGAGGGTTGTGTTCGGTTTTGCCAAGTGTTATATCGCATTCTTCTGTTACCACTA